TCTATATGTATATTGTTCTCTTGTTCTCCAACGAGTTGTCCTGCATATAATCCTTAACAGATACCATTTTCTTGGTGTTTTATACTGTCAATACTGGCAATAGCCATGTACAGGTTTCCCACCGTTCGTCTCTGTAAGCTCCAAATGCCGGAGACTTGAAATCTGAAAGATGTTTTCTTCATTCCGCCTCCATAATTTCGATTTCAAGACGTGTGTTTTTATGTAAATCAAGAACTGTAAGAGCTTGACAGACAATATTTGGTATGTAGGCATATTTCACTTTTGAATACCCCCTCCGTTTCCTTAAATGAAAAAATATCGTTTTTATAGGTAGAACCTTTATTTAGACATTTTAAATTTTATAAGAATTGGACTATTAACTCCGAATCTATTCAAGAATATATATTTCATATTGTGGAGAAAAGCGAAGAAGCGCAGCAAGCGGCATGTGTGCGTGTATAGTATATGTGTGTGTGTTATATAAGGAAGATGGCTTGTTGGTGCGGAGTTGAGGGTATCTCTTAGTTGGGCACGCTCCGCTAGAGCACTCTAACATGTTATTTAATGGATTTTGTCTTCGTATTATACAACACTGCAATTATACTTTGGTCAGCGCCATATCATTTTGATAAGTAATAAGTATGCATATCTATATTGTGTTCAAGGTTTATTTTTATAGATATTTTTTTTTTAGAGATTTAATTAAAGAATTATATTAAACTATAAAAAATAGCAGATACTATAGAACGAATAGATACCATGTTCAAATCACGTTTGACGAATAAATGCGTGACCTTAACTAATATTTCGACCGGCCCACATGAAATATTTATTATATGAGAACTCTTCTTTATCCAATTCACATCGCGCGTCCGCTCACACCATCGCAATTGAATAAAACATCGATGAGTATTTGTATTTTCCCTCTAGTATCAAACGTACTTTGCGAATTTGTTATGGGAAGCAGTCAAAAGAATACAAAGAAATAAATGGTAAATGTGTGCATCAAAAATTGTAAATAAAATATGTACATGTTTTATAGTAGAACTAAAAATAATCCAGACAAGAAAAGAACGCTTTTCTTCAGCACGACGAAGTTTAAATACCCTTGCATACTGTGTGACATAGAAGTTCTATTGTGATAAGAACCTGCTCATATGTAAGGAGCAAAAAGAAGTATGGAATCAAAAAGTTTATAGTCTAAGATCTCAATTCCCTTACTATCATTCCTATGGCAGCTATAAGATATAGTGGTCAAATTCAGCCAGGTATATACCAGTTTCCAAGAATCAGGCAGAAGGACACGGCTATTTCGTGTCGGCTGTTCATACTAAGCAAGAATATATAGATATATACATTATCGGATCGAAGATATATCTCTCTATGCTTTACGCATGTTGTGGCAAAACTATAATACTCTCTGCTAGGGCATACGAAATAAGACTCAAGACTTCGCTATCGAAATGCGTGTCGCATGCGGCAGGGTGTCACGTACAAAAGGACTTAAAAGTGAAGGTAATCGAACTTCACGAGAGCAATAAGTCTGATAAAAAAGGTAAATACAGAAACGTGAACATACTTATGTATGTATTGCTCCAACTGACAAATCAAAAATTAAAAAAAGAGAAACCCAAACACACATGCACACACACAAATATTATGTGAGTGTTATGAATGAAATGAAAAATGCTGATTATTCTGGATGTGGTGTAAGTGGTGCGAGGGCATTTCCTATATGGGCTGTAAAAGCCAGCGACAAAAGCCAATTTAAATTGAAGCTTCCTGGGCTCATATATATGCCTTGCGTTCAAGCCGGCTTTATGGAATTGTCATTATAAAAACTCATGCCAACAAAGTCACCGAAGCGTACAGGGGCCGCGCCATAAAAGCGATAAAAGTAAAAACACGGCTGAGCTTAAATTTACCTACTAACAAAAATATTGAATAAAGCTCGAAAGTGCCACGTTTGTTTTATTCAACTTAACGTACATGCATTCTGCTTTTCGATGGCGAGTGCGAATCCGCAATTCTTATGCCCTGTTCACAAAATGAAACAGAGTATATTGGACTTGTGCAATGTTCCTCCTTTTGTGCCAAAATCTATCCTCAGTCTTAAGGTAAGAATCATAAAATTTGTCAGGCAGACTAAACAAGACACTCGCTAAGAATCGAAATATAAAGCTCCGAATATTACAAAAGTCCCACATCTCAACAAATCAAATAATCTGTAATTAACCTACAAACCAAGATTAGATTCCTGGTTTAAAGCAACGTCTCGCTTTGAGGTTCGGACCACGAACACAGTTTTCCACATATACGTATCCATGTTTTTTCTCAAGCCTTAAATTTCTTATAATGTCCAGTAGAACAATTCAAAATTATTAAAACTATTATTTTGAATTGCGATGCTAAAAAAAGTCGATATGCAAAAATATTTTTATATATAAAAATGTGTTTTTTTTTCTTCCAAATCATCTTTTAAAATAGGTTGGGCTTAGGCTTAGGTTTGGCTTGTCTTTAGCTAGCAAGCCCGGCTTAAGGTTCTTAACCTGGTTAATAAAAAATTTTGATTCCGGACTCAAAACGGTAGGTTTTAGAATCGGTTTGCAGTTCTGTACTCTATGAACGAAGTATTGCGCAGTCGGTTACACCCGACTTCGACGTTTTTACTATTTTCTTTTCACATGTAGCCATGCTTCTGTGCATGTGTTTAAAAAACTCGACACGAACTGCGTACAAGTTTCCAGCAGCTTTAACTGAATCTTCAATTTAGTCATATGTTGTTTATATGATTTACCATTGGGCACACACATACATACCTAATTGAACATATGTATAAACTTTAAGTATTATATGAAACCTATAAATCAAAATAAACTATTTCCGCTGTGGCGCTGTATGTTTTTTTTGCTTTACCCGGAATTTCAATTTGGTTGATATTATTGTTGAATAGTTAACGAATCGGAACGAACCGTCCAATCCCCTGCGCTGCTTCCAGTGCTTAGCTGTTTCAATCATAAGCCTGATAGCGCTCAATGTGCGTCGAGCGTCGCTTATCAGTTCTCAAGCGCCATCGCGCAGAGTTCCTTCACCTTTTCGTCATATTTCTTGCCGTTGTGCGTGACACACATATACGCGAGCACATCGCACAAGCATTTTTTTAAACATATGTGTATGTGTGTGTGTGTGTGTGCGTATAAAGTATAAATATTTGTTACGGTAGCTCTGCATGTATGTATAAACGAGTGTAGCTGCGTGCGTGTGCGTATTTGTGCTCCTGCTCTTGGTGGGGAGCTGAAGAGCTGGCAACTTTGCGTGAGTTTTGTTGTTGACCCGCAGGCAAGGGATCGAAGCAGCGGCACATGCCGCAAACAGCTTTCCAACAATAAACAAAATGCGGTATGTTGCCGTTTGTTATTTTGTTTACATTCATTACAAATATGTTGCATACCCTGTACCAATAAATGTGCTCAAATAGGGCATAATAAATGGTATGTAACAAGCAGAAGACATTTAATGCATGAAGGTACATGAATATATTCATCGTGAGTATACACAGCCAAGTTTGAATAGAGTATTACTCTGTCGGCTACTTGCAGCGGATACTTGCATTTCCTGCTGAGTATTTATCTCTTTTTCAATAAATTGAGGTTGATTTTTGTATGTATATACATACTTACTTATCTAATTACTTATCTGTATGACATTCGAAATCTTTGTTCATCTTAATCAGCCCCACATTATCAAATTTCAATTTTTGATTAATTTTATTGTTTATAGTACGATAAAAACAAATTTCAGTGCTTAAATATGACACACAAATGTGTCTCTGGCTGTTATAATATATGATATATATGCCAATTTTTATGGATCAGCTGGACTAACAGTAATAATATACTTTCTCTCGCTCCTGCATTTAAGGGTAATTATTGTTATGAGAAATAGTGATGTAATCAAAACGAGTTATTTTGTCTATTTATCCTAATAAACAGGAGTTCAAATCGACCAACCTCTTTCATATGAAGCTCTGCAAAGCTCATCATAAATAGTTGATAGGTTTCTCTGTTGAATAAGTCAGCGAAGGATACGCACTGCAAATCCCAACAAAAGACCACACAATGCAGTTGGTACGCACTAAATCCCACCAAACAATTAAAAACATAACGATGCCAATCAAAAGTTTCTTTTTGTTTGTATTAACTGACAAAACGGCGGGTAAACGATATTTTTATGGCTTACAGCCAAAACTTTTATTCTCAACGCAACTCAAAAATGATTTTCATATGCTGTCGACTCTGGGAGCCATAAAATGCCGATTTACTGTTTTATAATTGAAAGCAATAAAAATTAAAAAAAAAAAAGCGTCAGCAACAACAATCACCGTCAGCTGATGCTGTGTGGGCGTTTTGGGTGTGAGTTGTACACTGAATACTCGATTCGAAATGAAGGAGAGTCACAAAAGCGCAGATCGAAATAATCACAAATGTATTGGAAGTAATGACATCAGTCTGTCAGTCGCTCACTATTCAATTGAATTCAATTCAAGTCAACTTTAATTATTTGTGTCTGACAATATTTTCATTTGCATGCTGTACTTGGTTATCAATTTGCCATACAATTTTATTGAAATTCAACAATGCAGCGACAAAAAAAGAAAACAAAACAATAAGAATATCATAGTCGGGAGTGTCCGACTAGAAGCTGCACTGTACCCACTGAGCCTTACGAATGCTAAGGCGAATATAGTCCCAGCACACCAACATTGCAAATAGAAAATGTTTTCAAAATCTTAAACGTAATACTTTATAAAAAACTTTTACTGTTGAAAAGTTTGAAAAATGCATTTCTTTAAAATCATTAAATCTATAAAAAATTAAATTTTAATCAAGTGGAGTTACGTGCAGTTAAATTTGTTTACGATTATAAAGATCGCCAGCAAATTGTGTACATTCAGTTCTATTAATAATAAATATATATATATATGTTTCTTTGCTTTCATTGTCTAAATTAAATAAGTGTTAAGTTAAGAAAAATTGATTTATTTAAAAATAGACACTCTTTTTAAGGCAAATCCAGTTAAAGTTTAATACACATAAATTGAATTTTTATTATCATGGTCCCAAACCATACGTATACCGCTTAAGACAAAGAATTCGATATGTTTTTGAAAAAAGTCAATTGTTTTGTTGTGGTGAATTTTCCGTATGAAGAGAGATGTGAATTTGTTAAAAAGGCTAATTGCTTAGCCGGAACGAATTTCGTACCATATATACATTTATTAGCCTGTGATTTTAAATGCAAAAATCAATTTCAGGAGTTTGCCTTCGTGACCGCCTTCCTGCTGTTAAGTGTCGAGTTGCTGCTCTGCCTCGGCTATGTGGTCCATTATTACTACAGTCCAGCGTTGAAGGTTGTTGCGCGGATGCTCCAAATGGGCGAGCATCTCGCTGGCGTAACGATATTGACCCTTAGCAATTCAACGCCGGATCTGTTTAGTAATTTTATGGCACTAAAAGATGATGTGCCTGTATATGCCAATTGCCTCTCAGGGTCATTGTTTGTGGTAATGTTCGTAGGCGGATGGATTTGCTATATCAGTCCGTTTAAGATGAACTCTTCTTCGACCATGCGCGATCTACTTTTCTTGCTCTTTGCTGTGCTTCTCATGGAATATTTAATGCAAACAGGCGGAATAATGACACTCCGGAATACTATTTCTCTTCATTCTTTATTTAGTCGTCAATATTGTTGACGTGTATCTTGTGCGCATGGCCATGAAGTGTAAGTAGCGCATTTACCGAGCTGTGTCTGTATTTATCTAACTCACTTCTCTTAACTCTTAAGCGTATAAGCACGAATTAGACGAACTAGAAGATGTGGACCAAACATACGAGGTTATAAAAAGACGCGAGCAATTGCAGCATAAATATGACCATATTGCAGTGGATCACCGCGTGCGTATATTGAGGAGGAAACCGACCTACACCAGCGTCAATTATGAAACGTTCAGCTATACGACTAAACGATCGACAATACATGTGACCCTTAAGAAGCATTCTTATCGCAATGCTATGTACAATATGGCCGTAGGTAATAATGTCAATCTCTTTAGCGAGTTTTTCTACGCACTCCGGCCCGTTGTTTTAGCTGATTGGCGCAAGGCTAATCTTCTTATACGAATCTTTTATGTTGCCAGGACTCCAATTGTAATAATATGCGCGATATATATACCCGTTGTGGATTACGAGATGGATAAAAATGGCTGGAGCAAGCTCCTGAATTGCCTGCATATTATCATTAATCCGGCGATCACAATCGTATTGGGAGCGGCTTTGATATTCAGAGATAAATCGAGGCTCTGGTATTCAAATATACCTGATGCTTCCATATACGGCCTTTACTCCTTTGTGTTAACAATTCCCATTTCGGTTTTTACGTTTTTTCACTCGAGGACTAGTGCCCCGCCAGCATATCATTGCTTGTATACGATCATGAATCTGACTGGATCCATGTTTCTGACATTCCAGTGTGCTGCTGAAATTTCCATGATAATGGATGTTTGTGGTCACATACTACAGGTTCCATCCAACTTCATGGGTGCCACTATAAAATCCATCTCAAACTCCATTGCTGATCTGGTAGTCAATACTTCGTTGGCTTTGCTTGGGTATGAAAAAATGGCCTATGCAGCAACAATTGGAAGTGCATTCTGCGCTTTAATCCTGACCACAACCTCTGTGATAGCAGGCAAGATTGCCATCGGCAAATCTGTTACAGCTCAAAGTATGGCCGGAAATTATGGTGAAAATGCGTATATCCTGATGGTTATGGGGATCTTGTCAACGCTGCTGTGGACAGCGGTGTTAAATTATAATGCTCGCCGTTCTGTTGGATTATTTTCAATGGCCATCTACCTACTCTACCTCGTCTTTGCGGTACTCATTAGGGCCGGTTATATCCATCAATTCACATATGACGACTATCTCGTCGATGCCTATGAAAACTAGAATAAAAGAAATGATTACCATCAATTATGCCTTTTACCTGATAAGGGTGTGTGTCTTGAAAAACTCTTTTTTTGGGTGTGTGTATTTACATGTTCGTTTACAAAGCACTTTATATAAATTTAACGAGTATATTATTTAAATAAATTAGAATTTCATTTATTACATATACAATAAAAATAAAATAAAAAATATTTGGATTTTTTTAAGGTACTACAGTTGAGTGTGCTCGTCAATAAAATCCCCTGTAGACCTCACTCAGTAAACAAAATAATTTGAATTTATGTGCATCATTAACTTGCATTCAAAAGTGCGTATATACCAAATCGTAAGGCTCGAGCTCACTTTTGAGGGAATGTGAAAGGTTATTCAAGAAGTGAAAACTGTCTAATCTCTGTAAACTATAGAAGGGCCTACAAACAACGTCTGTTTTATCTAGCTCTCATAGTTATTCAAGTATGCTTTAAAAATCCATTCTCCATTTGTAAAGGGGACGTAATATCGATATAAATTGATAAACTTGTTCTGTGTGTGGCATAGGAGAATAAATATTTCAAGTCTTGGTAGACGCATTAATACGCAGAGGGACATGGCTAGTTTGTTTCAGTTTGTCGCCCTGATGAGTTGGCAGAAGACTACTGTAAGGCTAGCAGTGCGCGCCCAAGGAATTATATTATGCAGTATATTTCATACAAACGTGACATACTCATACCATAAAAGTCAGTTAGGAAAATCTTTTATAAACTAATTGTATTAAATGTTTGTCTTATATTATGTTTATACTGCCAACATATTCTGTTTGCCTTTGCCATGATGGTAAAGTGCTTGGCAATTTTTGCAAAGCAGAGTTTTCTGAGAGCAGCAAATGAAACTGCTTTCAGGTGAAATGCATTTTACAATTTTACAACATTTTTGCATTTAATTATTATTGAAACTTTATTGATACACAAGGAATTGTGTGCATTTTTTTGGATGTTGTTTTTTTTTTTGGGTTATCACTAAATTGGCTTTCAAATTTGCCAGTAGCTTTTGGCTAAATAAGCAAAACAACTGCAAGGAACGAGTTTTCCCTGAACACAGAAAAATAACAATTCCATGGAGAAGCCGAAAGCAATTTCCAAACAACTTGAAAAACAAACAGCAACAGCGAAAAAACAAATTGAGAGATAGACATTCGGAAATATTTCCTGGTAAACAACAACTGAAGCTCCAACTGCAGCTCCAAACGTAAGTGTAACTGCGATTGCAATTGCAATTGCTGAGGGGAGCCAAGGAAATAATTGTAATTGACACTGAAAATGTTGCTGCTGCTCTTTGGGATGCTGATTATGCAGTCTTCTTAGTCTTCGAGTCATCAGTTTGCCGTGTGATGACGCGTCATTTTGTCATGGCTCAGTAAGTTTCATTTAATTGACCCCGCCTGGAGGGGGGGTTATAGCTTTTGCGCTGTGCGAAACATCCAAAGTTCATTTGCGCAGTTTCTAATGCAAATAATAAAATTTCATTTAATTAGCAAACGACACGCAAAATTCAGTTCACATTTAGACGGAGTCCGACTCCGACTCCTACTCTGACTCCGCAAAGCGAAGTAATTAATTGATGAGCAGCCATAGGAATTACTGTAGTTCCCTCCCATGGCAAATAGCTTAAAGTGGCTGCGTTAAATGACGACTTTCGTACGTGCAATGTCATAGGCCATTAGCTGCCTGGCTGAGTTCGGCGTTCGCCCCAGCTCCGCACTTTATAGTTGGCCACATTTGTGGGTCACATGCAACAGTTTGTACACCCAACCTCGTTACTTTCAACGGGGTTTCAACGTTGCGAATCGATATGTGTGTGTGTGTGTTTGATTTCTGGGTGTGTTCGGAAGGCTCTTAAAACAATTCAAGCCAGCAATTTGTTTGCACGAGCAGTTGCCTACATTTCTCCGTGGCTATCAAACAGTGTATAATTCGAATGACGTGCCACCACTTGATGTCGACTTGCGCCTATTTATAGGCGATACTTTTTACTTTTTACAACTGCATCATTCACTGCGTGCCACAACCACACTCGAGGCGACCTTGAGTGCCACTGTACAAAACGCTTTGACTTGGTCATGATTATGACTTGTTTTTTCGTTTTTAATGAGCGTTCCAATGGCAGAGGCTTATAATTAAATAAATTGCAAAATATCTAAATGCGGTTAAGACTATAATCCTTTGGTGCATAACATATAGAGGGAACATCAGGTTGCTTTATTAAGACTCGATTTAGCGTCGGGGCCTTCTGGTCCTTTGTGGTGCCTGTGGCCACTCAGAAACCATCTTGCTCAGTTGACGAAAAGGGTAAGGCCCAACGGGGCCAAATCGGACGATTCTTAAAATAATATGCGGATGGCCTACTCACCAAGGCAGTCACATATGTCGGGTAGATGTTCTCATATTCTCACTCTTCTCTCGTCTCTGGAGATTATAGTTTCTGCTGAAGTGTAGGAGTTTCAACCCAAGTTCTCAACTTCAATAGTCGACAGGCCGACAGACAGACACGCAGCAGCCCGCAGCAGCCAAGGATGTCAGCCGCAATCCAAGCCGGCTGCTCACGTTAGCCCGAATGGGCAGGACCCATATGACTGCCATTGAGCGGTGTTGGGTTTGGTTTCGAGCTGCCACCGAGCCGCTGATGGGCTTGCTTTTGATGGTGTGAAATGACAGCCCCTTAATATGAGTTTACCGACGTGACGGCCTAGATTGATAGGTTCTTTAAAGTTTCTGTTAAGTTCATAATCGGCTAAAGTCGCTTGCCAGACTGTATAACTCTTGAAACCCAATTATTAAGACTACAGTTAATGTAGTTAATGTAATCGTATTATTTCAATTACAATTCTATTGAAATTTGAGGCCAAGGATCGGACCATAGAAGCGGAAAGTTTGTTTTAAGAACCCAAGGCGAGGCAAAATATTTTGGATCTTTGTCATCTAGGTATTGTTAGCAATTCATCTGGGTTATCAGATAATTGTCATATTTAAGATATCACTTGTTCACCATGGGCTAATAGGCTATAGTTTTATTCAATCATTTGTCAATTTTAAGCATTTAGAGATATATCAACGATATATGTCACTGTGCTGGTCAGTTGTAAACGATTTGCATATCAGCATCAGAACGTTAATCACTTACCCGCAAGCAATCAATAACTGCACACTGGGTAATTGTCTAAGTCAGGTTGAGAGCCGATCAAGATGCGATGCATAACTGAACCGTCATCAATCTGCTGTTCGACTGTGGGTCCAGCTGTATGTGGGTGCAATGCACAGGGCCAAGTTGCAAATTGTTTGGGCCAAAATGCAGTTTCGCACAAAACTGGCAAATGACGCTGTCGCTGACGCAGAGAGTTGAGGAAGCGTTCCTTTGTGTGGCGGTGGGACGACGGCTTTACTAATTGATTTTGAGCCAGTTGGCACGTTTTTGGTGCAGTTCATTAGCGCAGCCGACTCAAGTCGACTCGAGAGCTGGGCTTGGCCTGACAATAAGTCTAGGAAAACAGAAAACAGACTCGGCGGACAGGCGGCTTCAAACGTTGGCACCTTGGACGTGCGCTGGTTCATAAAACTCTGGGCCCTGGGGCTAGACAAGCTGCAATGCTGGCCTACAATGTGCCATTAAAGGTGGCTATTGTAGCCCGAGGTCTGCTCTTGCCCGTAGCTAAAGCAAAATGGCAAATTCTTTGACTAATGTTCCGTTTCTTTTCCATTGCAGATGAACGACAGCACATACAGAAGAAAACTTTTACGAAATGGATCAATTCACATCTCAGCAATACCCAGTGTACACCAGTGAATGATTTGTTCTTGGACCTGAGAGATGGACACCGGCTGCTGGCCTTACTTAGCACCCTAACACATACACAGCTGGTGAGTGTGTAAATAGACTCTGCTTATTTTTTACCACTCCTTCATATTTGTTCAATCTGGAAGTGTCAGCAAAGGACGAAGAATAGAGGGGCCCAAGAGTTCGGATGTAAAACCAATGCAACAAATCCATTTATAAGCTACTATAGATTCAGATCACAAATATATGTCAATACCTGAGATCTAATTAGGTTTTTACAGTACTGCTCATCCAGATTGACTGACTTATTGTTTGATAGCTAATCAATAATCCAAGCCGTGAGAGCTAGAAAGATTAACATTTTAGAGTAGTTTTGGTAAATTTCACCCGCAAGTGTAGAAAAACCGTGGATTATACAAATTTTTCATTTGAGACGAACGGCGGTTTTTGGAAATTCCATTCCTCTTGGATTAAAAATGGAAGTCAAAGGTTGTATTAACAAAAGTTTATTTGTTGGCTTCTAGCTCCAAACCACGGGGCTACAATGGAAGGAATTATGTCGATGGAGTTATTCATTTTTAAATATGTTTGAAATTCGTATGCACTGTTTTTTTTTGAATAGAAACAGACAGACGAAGTGATAGATGTGGATATGTCCACTCGGCTATGAATACCGATCAAGAATATATATATACTTTATGGCATCGACATTTTTGCTGCATTACGCATTTCGCCTCTTAATAGGTTATTATCAAAAATGCTGCTTATTAAACATTGATATATTATATATGTATTTACAAATAGTTCTCAATGTATTTTGTGTTAGTCATTTACTTAAATTGCGAACAAGACTGCAAATTGATTTTAAATCAAACCGGTTTCAACCCGGAATTCCGATTTGTCTGAACTCTGCTCAAAACCAGTTGCCCAAAAAAAGCAAACCAAATTTTATCCAATCATAAATTTGGTTTTGATTTGACTTTTCTAAAAAAAAGATTTTTTTAAATATTTTAAGTCCACTTTTAACAATTGACAATCCTATCGATTACTTGAAAATAAATTGGGATATACTTACTGTTTCATTTTTATCTGTGTATCTTTTTCTCTCTAGAAACCCGAGAAGGGTCGCATGCGCGTGCACCACATCAACAACCTGAACAAAGTGCTGCAGGTGATCCAACAACACGGTGTCAAGTTGGTTAACATATCAAGCGATGACATTGTGGGCGGCAATCCGAAGCTGACGCTGGGCCTTATCTGGCTGATAGCTCTCGAGTTCAACGGTCAGCATCTAGTCAAAAGCCATTCAAGCAATGGCGTTGAGAAATCCCTGCTGGCCTGGGCGAGACAATATACAGAGCCGCATGGACTGGGGCTCAACGATTTTGCCAGCTCTTGGGCAGATGGACGCGCTTTTCTCATGATACTCGCTGCACACCTGGATGAGCTAGACTTGGATACGGCGCTGTCGCAGCACGCGCTGCAGCGTCTGTATTTGGCCTTTGACTTGGCGCACAGGCACTTCAAGATTGAGAAGCTGCTGGATGCAGAGGATGTGCACACACACAAGCCGGACAATAAATCCATACAGATGTACGTCATGTGTCTGTATCATGCGATGGAATCGATGCGAGCCACCGAGCGCGACAGAGTGCCCTGCACGAGCATCACAGATCTGGATGAGGTGCCGCTGGACGGCGAGCGGGAGCTCTACACTTCCGATAGTGCGGCCAGTATTGAGTTGAAGTCTGCGGTGGAGGCAAGTTCGCAGCGTCCACTGAGCACCTCAACTAATGCCAGCTGCGGTATCGGCAGCTATCAGACAGCCCTCGAGGCGGTGCTGACTTTGCTGTTAGAGGATGAGGAGCTCCTGTCACAGGAGCTGCCAGATCCGGAGAACTTTCAAGCCGCCAAGATGCAGTTTCACGAAAATGAGAGCTTCATGCTGAAGCTAACCGAACATCAAGAGTTTGTGGGCGAGGCGCTCGAGGCGGGCAGCAATCTGATAAATGAATCACAGCTGAAGGACGGCTCAAGTCTCTCCCAGGTGGACCAAAACGAAGTCCGCCAACAGATGGTGCTGCTCAACGAGCGCTGGGAGACGCTGCGTTTGCGTGCACTGGACATGCAGGCCAAGATTCTAATGCGGCTGGCCGAGTTCCAGAAGCAGAAACTAGAACAGCTTCGCCAGTTTCTCACCAATGTCGAGGATCGCATCTCGCACATGAGCGACTTGGGGCCCACCATAGCCGAGGCAGAGCAGCAGCTGGCTGAGGCACGACAGCTCAAGGCGGATCTGTGCGAGCAACAGGAGCTGGTGGACAGCATTAGCAGCATGGTGGTCATTGTGAACGACACTTCCGGTAATTTCAATGATCTCGAGGATCGACTGAGTGCGCTCGGCGAGCGCTGGTCCCATGTGGTCAAGTGGATAGATTTACGCACCGAGAAACTGCAACAATACAAATGCATCTCCCGCTGGCTGGATGCTCGCGAACAGGATCTGAAACGCATGGAAAGCCGTGATGTCACCGACGTCGGTGGCATCACACAGCGCATCAATGAGCTTAACTATTGCGCAAAAGATTTGCTGGAGCTGCACCGCTATTTGATTGATCTGCGCCAAATGGTGGCCGCCACCCTACAGGATGGCGACGACAAGGGTGAGCGCGTGCTCATGCAGCTGGAGAGCTATGAGGATCGCCTGGATGCACTCAAGCAAATCTTGGAGGTGCAAACGCTGCGCATCGAGTCGAAAGGCTTCAACTTTGGACGCGAACGCGCCAGCTACGATGACAGTCGAGTGGTGCGTCCCGAGGGCTGGGTGGACTATCAAATGATAATACGATTCGGTGAGGACGAGGAGGACGATGATGAGCCTGAGCCAACGCAGCAGCAACAGCAGCAGCAGGAGCAGCAGGCTGGCTTACATGAACCAGACCAGTTGGCCAGCAAGAAACGTAAACTGCGCAACGCGGACAACTTTTTTGCACTGGAAAATCAGATCCAGCATCACTTTTCGCACGTGCAGGAGGTGGAACAGCAACTGCAGCAGCTGCAGCGCCAGAGCTTACGAAATCAGTGCGAGCTGCTCAAAGAGCTGCAGGCCGAGAGTCAGCAGCGCGCCAACGCCTTGCCAGAGCTCAAGAAGCTCTATGAGGTATGCGAGCAGGAGGAGCCAGGACGTAAACTCCTGCTGGAGGCTGCCCAAATCAAGCAGCTCGAGCAACGCTATGCGGCACTGGCCCAGCGCCTGGCCAGCCAGCACAGCGAGAGCAGCACGCTGCTGGCCAAGGAGCGTTATTATAATAGCCTGACTGGCTTTAAGCTGGTGCTGGCCGACTCGCGGGACTGGTACAAGCAGCACGCTGGCACTGCCAGCTGCCAGGAGCTGGAGCAGCGTCTCAGTCATATGGAATCACTTGCCACGGAGATAGCCGAGGCGCGTGAAACTACGGAGGCCCTGGACGATCAGCTGCTGGAATGGAAGCAGGACTTTGGCCTCTTCTATGACAGCTGGCATGACATGAAACAGGCGCTGCAGGCGCTCATACAACAGCGTGGCGGCGAGAACATTGCCCAGCAGGTGCAGCAGCTCGAGAATTTCGTTGGCAAGGTGGCCGCGCAGAAGGTGCGCGTCTCCAATCTGGAGGCGATGCAACAGCAGCAGCAGCTGCTTAATCAACTGGTCGATGAACTGGAGTCCCTGAAACCCTGCTATGAGCGTGTACCCGCCCATATGCTCAGCGAGGAGCTGCAGGCCGCCTGGCAACGTCTGCCGGAGCAGCTCAGCGAGCGGGTCATCAAGCAAACCACCGCCATTGAGAACCTCAACCATTTTGTGGCTGAATACAATTCGATAATAGCTGTGCTTCGCAGCGCCCCTGAGGTGCTTCAGACACAGGATCTGCGCAAGCTGGAGATCGATGTGATCAGTGCCCGGAACTTTAGCGAGATTCTGATCAAAGAGGCGGAGCCGCCACAGCGCGAAGCTCTGCAGGCCCAGATACGCGCTCTAAATGCGCTCTATGAGCAGGTGGAGCAGCTGCATCAGGCGCAGCGGCAACAGCAGTCGGCGATGCAGTCCCAGAGTGACGCCATACAAAAGCGGCTTCAACAGACGGAGCGCTGGCTCAACGAACTGGAGGCAAACACGCCGAAGTCGGGCGTTGCTGAAATTCGCAATTCCAATGAGCTCTTCCAAAGCAAATCTAAGTTCCAGACTCTTAAGGAAACCTGCGAGCGCGAGGCCACACAGTTCCGCGAGCTCAATGAGCTGGGCGGTGAGCTACTTCTGCAAATGGACGAGCTGCAGGACAAGGAGAAGGACTCCAAGTACGGCACGCTGGCCAAACAGTTCACGCGCCTGAATGCACGCTGGACGGAGGTCACGGAGCGTGTGTACGCCAAGACGGCACTGCTGGAGCACATCTCCACGCAGCTGGGCGAGTTCAAGAAGTTTATGGTCAGTGAGACGGGCTACCTGGATCGGCTGGAGAACAAAATACGCAACACAACAAATGCAGCCGATGCTGAGGAAATTATAGAAGAATTGGATGTAAGTACAATTATAGATCGATATTTTCCCGCCGGGCTACTTTATATACAACTGAAATTCATTTAAAAATGGCTTGTAATTTATCGTATATTCATTATCAATTTACTCTGAACTTTGAAAATGGCTAAAAAGGGTCTAATGGTGTTGCAGAGTCAATCTGAGTATCTTTGTCCGCCCGTCCGTCCGTCCGATAATCTCAGGAGATATAAATCTTGGAGAACAGAACGTATGTGATCGCTCGGATCAAGTGTGCTTCAAATTAACGATAACTTGCTGAAAATGGTTAAAAAATGGTTAAAAACAAGCTATTTCGAGCTATCGCCTTGGGCTTTGGTATTACATAAATTTGTTTACTATATCTATGCCCTGAAAATTGCATAATGATCGGACCATAAATACCGAAGTTAAACAAGGCTGAAATTCCCAAAATAAGTAGCAAAGGGAGAAAGAAGCACACCCTCTGCATAAGGATACGACGGCACCTCCCGACTAGGCACTCTTATTTTATAGTATAACTTATATAAATATGTGATTGTACTTTTTGTTATCTGAAGGATCTGGAGAACGTGCTGCGCGCTCACTCCGACGAGTGGTTGGACAAGATTCAAGAAATTGGCAACGAGCTAATTGACAATGAATTTATGGGCGATGTCATGCGTCAGGATATCGATGGCATTGTAGAGCGCTGGACGAAGCTGCAGCAGCTGGCCAAGAAACGCGCCGAACTGTTGGAGGAGAAGGTCAGCGAAGCGGAGCAGTCCGAGAAAGCAGTCGTTCATCTCGAGGCCTGGCTAACGCGCATGGATGAGATACTCAGCGAGCATCTGGAAAATGATGTGACCATTGAGGATCTGCCTGACGATTTCCAGGTGAGTGAGACACAAAGTTCATTTAAGAACAACAAAAAAATAATTTTTATTTCTGCAGATTTTGGCACGCGAATTTGCCATTAACGAGCAAAATTTCAAGGATATAAGCGAACTGATTGCTGAGCACACGGCCAAGGGCAAAACAGGCGCCGCCAATCGCCTGCAGGAGCAGCTTAATCTGATGGAGCTGCGCTTCAAGGCATGCCAGGCCAAGCTCAACAAATGCACAGCCCCACAGCCCGCCTACGAGTCGCGCTTGAATCGGGCTTACGGTGACCTGCGCAACGTGGAGCACTCCACATTGGTGCTGGATGTGGCCTCGGCGGGTCCAAGCACCGTGCAGGCGCAGTACCAAAAGTGTTTGGTATGTTTTTCTAAATATACAAAATTAAGTTTAACAAATTTAAATATGACGTACAATTCCACAGCAAATATATCGCACACTTTCCGAAATCAAAGCGCAGATTGAGAGCACTATTAAGACGGGCCGACGCGTCTGTGAGGATAAATATACAAAGAGTCCCAAGCAGCTCAGTCAACGCATCGATGCTCTGAAGCATCTGTATAATACGCTCGGCGAGAGTGTTACCCAATCGAAGGCCTTCCTGGAGGGCCTAATCAAGCTGGCCAGGCAGCTGGAGCAGTGCTTCGATTCGGCTGATGACTTGATAAGGCGCTTCGAGTCGCCGCAGGAGCTGCACGATCGCAACTCCATACTGCTCGAATTCGAGGACGTGCTGCAGCGCTGCGAGGAGCACTACAACGAGTACAGCAAGTCCTGTGATAAAAGCTGCATGCAGGAGACGCGCCAGCGCATCGATGGCCTCAAAGCCACCTACCACAGGCTGACCAGTGCGGACATTATCAAGCGGCTGACCGAGATGAAGACAACGCTTCAGAATTTGGATAACATTTCGCTGGACACTTTGAAGTTTGTGACATTTCATGTTTCATATATTTATCAGAGAACTGTCGCAACCAAATGTGTACTCGGTCTTTTTAAACAGCAGAATCTCTTTGGAATGTGCATATTTTAATATATATATGTGCATATTTATATGCTTACAGTTCTCTGATTATTAAGCCGATTTTAATTGTTGACATATAGGAGCTCAATATAAGTATTATAAAGCGAATGAAAGTTTGGCACCCCAACTGTATGTACATCGACTTATAAGCCGAATCGACTTGATTCGCGCTATTTGATTGATGATGAGTTAGTCTTCAGACGCTTTTGCTGCAGGCAAAATATTTCTAGCTTTTGTTAATCGCTTGAAAATTGAAGTTTTCTTGCATTTGGTTTGAGGCATTTTTTATTTTAAACTCTATTTATCTACCTTGCCATCAATTATGTCAATTTGTATGCAAGTAGCCCCAAGATATCTTAAGTGTTTTAATTCTCTTATTCTGTATTGATTTACTCTTGCAGAACCATGGAGCATGACCTGAAGGAGATAAATGTGCCATCGAATCCGGAAATTGAAAAATTGCAGCAACAAGTCATTGCAATTGTTGTGGTGCGTAGAAAACGATTGCCAATATAAGAATATATATAGATGCACTAAATTTAGAAATGCTCTTAAGGATAATCTGTATTTAATTACATTATCCTAATGGTTTCTGTTTGTTTCACTGTCTTTTGAGTTAATTTATTTGAATTTACTGCACAATTTTCTTTATAAATTCGCGATTTCATTTCATGCACTCTTTTATTGTTCGCACATTCCATATACCTCTTGGTTGTTGGTTGTTTTCCATTTTAACACCTTTGGTTTTTCATTCGAATCATTCACACACTCTCACTCACACACACACACACACAACTTACAAAGAGACGCGAGCAAGTGAGATTCTGGCGCCAAAGGCTGCTCTGCTATCAGCTTGCACTCTGAAATGGAATCGGATTTCCTATCCTTGTACTTATTCTCCTTTGCCGTTCGTTCGGGAAAAGCATAAGTCCGTTGATTTGGATTCGTATCGAATTGAATTGAATGTAATTTATGAGTGTGAAATTCAAGTGTGAAATTTATAGAGAAAACCTTTAAATTAAGTTGAAAATACTAATTTTAAATTAAGCTGTTAATATAATTAATGTGTTTTTTATTTGATTAAATTATTGTAAAATCTTTATAATGCTCTAACCAAAAGGTGCTTTGCATATATTATTGTATATGTACCTATGTACATTATTATTTATTATGTGTAATGCTTATTTATTTTGTGTAAATTCATGAGTTTTTTATTTGCAATTTCACATACCATCCATTTAAATAATAATAATAAAAAATACATTCGTAATAATCTGTCCACCAAGCTAATCAAGAACCAATTCAAATACCAGATAAAAATACCAACAACCATCACCCAATACAACCACCACCATATACCAGAATCACCGTATCACTAGCTCTACGAGGTCTAATTTGGTGTCATTTTCACGCTTCAAATTTCAATTATATACATATAAAATATCTCTTTGTTTTGCGTTATTTGGAGTTCTTGTAACTGTCCCCCTCATAAGAATAAACAAAAATAAAATAATAATAATAATAATAATAATAAGATAAAAAACAAATGGCGTTCAACTTGGTTGCGGCTGCGTCAAACGTAAATGTCCAATCAACACATCCCAACAACAGCATAGATACAAAAGTATCTGCTGCTCCTTTCACCAACGCTTATGTACAGCAAATGCTTTTTGGCCTTCATATACTACTATGTAATGCAACCTATAACATATACCTATCATGGGGCGCGACAAAGACTTCATTGACAACTTGAACGTCTGTAGCTTTAAGGCGTTTTATTTGAATAGAGCTCTATTAAACACTATGAAACTATGCATCCCTTGCACAGGATACGTTGAAAGCGCGCTTCAACGAAACAACGACGCTTGCCACAGTTGAAAAGCCAAAGCCAAGCGATGACGATACGGAAATTGTTGTGGTTAGCGATACAGTGCGTCAAAGACGTGCACGTACGCCACAAGCCGGCGAAGGCAGTACGCCGAACACAAGTGCCACCGAGGCGCAGTCGCCGAAGGTGGGGACAGCGGATGCTAAGCCCACATCATCCAGTGGTGAACAGGTGCTGCCCGATTTGCTTCCTCCTCAAACTTTTCGCCTGGCTGAATCCAGCACACTCTTCTCACAGATATCGCTGAATCCGGGCAAGGTGGCGGAGACATCTGCACAACCAAGACAAGCGAAAAATAAACGCAAAGCGCCGGCAGCGCCAGCTCAGGTGGTTGAGATTAAAGTGAAAAACATTCAGAATGATAAAATGTCTGTTCAGAATATTGCGCTGGAGCCGCAGCAGGGCGAGATTGTGGACACCGTCAACATTTTGGAGAGCGTGGAGCCCCTATTGCCCGAATATGTGCAGACTGTGCAAATTGTCGATCTGTCCGAAGACTCGGACTCCTCGTTGCGTGTCGATGCCAATGGCAAGGAGGTGCGACGCAGCAAGAGCAAACGTTCCCTCTGCGATTCACCGGTACCCAAGCTGGAAGATGGCACTGACGCTGACGCCGACGCCGACGCGGATGATGCGGAATCCTTGTTGCGTCCAGCAGCGGGCAACACGAGCACACCTCTGCTGCGTGTGGAAAAGCAGCGTATATCCTTTGATGAGAAACGCAAGCGCATTGCCCATGAGCGTGACATACTGCGCGATTCCGAGGAGGATGAAGCGCCACAAAGCGCTGCGGCGCCAAGCGAAGCTGCAATAGCAGAACAAGAACAGCGACCCAAAGCCAAACGCTGGCGTCAGCTGCAGCCAGAAATGGAGGCTATTACACCCGATACGGAACCAGAATCACCCATTCGGAATAGTTTCTATAGCGCCGACAAGGAGGCAGGTTTTGATATTGAGCCGCTTGTGTTCTCCGACGATGAGGAGATACCGCGCTTTTCGCTGGAAATGACACCAAGCTTCGACTCTGATAGTGATACGGTAATTTGGTAGAGCTTGGGCCATCATTTCCATTGTTTTGCCACGACTTTTTCTGTATCTTTCCCTATTAATCATCGCAGAGCCGAATTGAGACGCCCTCCGCCAAGAAGCCGAACTCGTTCCTGAGCAAGGTTCTTAACTCAATGCCCTCGCCACTGGACGATTCGAATGTGACCCTTAAGAGTCCGCCCAGTGAACAGCCCAGCACCAGCGTCATTAACCTGGAACACCGTGTTCAGGAATTCAATAAGTTGGCCAAGCAGATGATCTATAAGCTGGAGCTGACCAAGGTCAAGATCGAGCAGGGTCACGAAACCGAGGCGTAAGCATAAAAAACTTGAACGAATTTCACACTAATATTGTAATTATTTCGTAGCGAGGATCTCAGAATGTTAATAGCGCCGGATGCGGCCACTCTGATCTCACAGGGCGATTCTCTGGTGCTCGAAACACACGGAAAACAGGGCAGCATCTCGCGCCTGGTCATGCGCACACAGATCATTCTTAGAGAAAAATTCCGCGAGGTTCAACAGGCCAAGTAAGAAACTTAGCGATTCCCAAGAAGTTTCTCCATTATTAATACTTACATTTAATTATTCCTCTTAACAATCAGATCGAAAGTAACTGGGACGTCTGCAGCACGTCCCACACCGGATAGCGTTAATATTGAGGAGCTGGTCACAAAAGGTCTGCGTCGCATAAATGTGCTCATCGAGAAGCCCGTTAATCCCAAGTCCAGCACTGAGCTCGAGAAACGCATAGAGGACATCAACGTAAGTGTGACCAAACTAATTTTACGCTGGCTTTCGTCCAACATTTGCCACATCTGGCCACAAAACACAATTAATTGCCCATGGTCAAACTGGGCAGAATAATTATACCCCGCAGCATCAAATTATTTTAATCAGCAATTTAACAAAGTTGTCAAGATATATGCAAGAGGCGGAAGAGTATGTACATGTAGGTGTATATATAAAGATTTATATATATGTAGTTTTAATCTTAAATCTTTGTCTGAATCTCCTTTTCTGCACTGCCAGAAAGATGAGGCCATATTTTAGAGGGGTTGGTCAGAAATCTAAAAATTTTAAATCATAAATTTTTATGCATTAAATGCTGTTAAAATACAAATATTACAGTCTATTGTTATTAAATTTTATTAATTATTTTTATGCAAAATTAGGTTTGTGTTAAATACAATATCTTGCACATAAAAATCACCTTTGTTTGAGCATATTGCAATGAGCATAGGGTATTTTTTGGTTAAGCTAGACAATTTAACATTTTTTTTATTATAATCGAGCGCAATATTTGTATTTATACATTTTTATATTTTTTTTGCGTACTAATTTAGACATCTTTGAAGGCGTCTGCGTTTATTTTTTTTGCTCTTTTTCCAACCACAAGTTAATTGGCCTCTTGAGAATTCAGAGCATCGGCACAGGCCACCAAACTAAATGCTGCCATTAGAATTGCCCAAAATAAACCAAAAATTTTGACATAGTTACACAGACATCTCGAGACATCGCGTCGTACGCCAACATTGAACAACATCAACAACAACAACGTTTACATCTATGTATATTTAGGGGCGAGCTAAGATATAATTCAAAGAGAGAACTTAAGAGATTTTCATCATGTTAAGTGAAAGTCGTCTAAAATGTAATCCGTACTACGTGTGCTTATTATATTAGTTGGGTCAACATATTGATTGTTTAATTTGTCTAGTGTCATGTTTTATTTAATAAGGAAACGTCATAAGAATTGTCTCTTAAAAATATGTACATAAATAAATATCTAGGTCACAAAGCAACATAACTATTTCCGTGTCTAACTATGACTGCAGAAATAGCTCGCTTTCTGGAATTTGAACTAAAAATAAAAAATAAATCAAATATAAATAAATAGTTAATTAATGAAAAGGTAAATCCATAAGCGATAGTGTACGCTTTATAGGTAGACAGTACAAACATCTGCCGGAGATGGTCAGGTTAATATTTAAACTATGGCTGTTATATAAACGAGAAGTCGGAAATATACCTTTAAGGTTTAAAGACTTTATGTTTTTGAACATATCCTCAAGAATAATTGTCGTATTTGGCGTGTGTACATTGGAAAAGTACAGGGGAAAATTGACAAGAGGCCCTGTGCAAAGTCCATATTATTGTATAGTATATCTGCCATATGCATTGTAATAAATATTCGACACTCTTACGTTAATTTTTGCCTGTTAGCGGTATACAAAATAGTACTTTGTTTAAATTGAAATAAATTGCTTGACAAATCTTCTTCTGGGCAAAGTACATATTATTAAATAGTATATCTGCCATATGCATTGCAAGAAATATTCGACATACAAACAAGTACTTTGTATTGAATTTACAGTTTTCCTCTTTAAATTGAAATAAATTGCTTGACAAAGTACATATTATTAAATAGTATATCTGTCATATGCATTGTTTTAAATGTTCAACAATCTAAAGTTAACTTTTGTCTGTTTTCGTTACACAAACTAGCACTTTGTATGGTTTAATTGAATTTACAGTTTTTCTGTTTAATTTGAAATAAAATGCTTGACAAATGTTCTTATTTCCTGGCCATATAAAATCTCAACAATTCGACAATTTCGATCCCTAGACGATGACATGCCCTAAAATCCATCATTAATCAATTCGTTCATGGATTCTTTATTTTTGTATTTCTTTTTTTGTTTGGTATATTTTCTGTTTTTTGTTTTTGATACAGGCCCAAATGATGACAAAATAATACGAAATCAAATGGGAAAGTGGGAAACCTATATATTTAAAAATAGAACCATGAAGAGTCTGGCAAAGAGAAGCATTTTGAGGCAATTCGAAGAGTGTTGTTTTCAACAAGCAACTATAATTTTCTCCCTTTGCCGGCGGCGGCGTTTGTATATTCAGTATGTGCGCGTCTGAAACACGCAACGGTCGCGTCGCTAGTAATTAATTTCGTGATTAATTTGATTGATTATAAAGCGTGTACGAAACTCTCTTGGCGCCAAAATTGTTTGCCCTGGAAGCTCCGATGCAATTCTGCTGGTTGACACAGTCTGCCAGTGCGGTATACAAGCAGTCGCCACCCGCCCACCAACTACCTAGCTGTACCAACCCACCACCCACCCACACTCACACACACACACACACACAGACACACATATTGCATTGATTCACGTACTTGGCTGTCCCAGGGAATACTTGCATGGGACCTTCTTGTTCGATTGTAGCCGGAATTGAAATTCATTTACCGTTGGCCCTCCCAGCGGCGTCCATTTTGCTAGAGTGCGTGCCGTTTCCTTCTTCCGCTCAGCGTGCATTTATTGTTAATTTTTCATCACCAGCAGATAGCCAGCTCAAATTTATTAATGGTTGAACTCTTTGCAGGAACGCCGAGACGATCTGCAGGTGATTGTCGGCGCCATTGGCAAGAACCACCAAATGCCAAAGGTTACGCCCGTCATGATGAACGAAATTGAAAAGGTTATCACAACGCACTTGTCGCTCGACGATTTCATTTAACCTGCCCGCTTACACACATTTTTCTTTCCATTCTTGTTTACAGACTAAAAACAATTTGATTGCTCATGCCGATTGTGTGGAGCTCTCATTGACGGAACTGAAAAATGGCAACCAAATTGGCAACGGCAACGGCAACGGCAACGGCGCCACCAACAGCCGACAGGGTAAGTGATTTTAGCCCCCATTATTTTGTAATCGACGGTTTCAAAGGTTATTTATTGCGCTTTGTTTGGCCCCTTAAGGTCAGTGGTTCAAAGACTTGTAGAGCTTGTTACGATTGCATTAAGTAAAGTGTTTTGCCGTTTTTTATATTGCGCACTTTTCTTTCAATGCGCTAAACATTGACGTTAATACAGAGCGAACTTTATAATATTTTCAGAGTCTGTATTTACCAAAAGAAAAGAGTTTTGCAACAAGGTGAACGCTTTCTTAAAAGTGATAAAATTGTAATGCGTAAAAGCTGAACTGAATACCTATAAACCAAATTGAGGAAAGGTATCCTAAGAGTAGAAGAATTTTAATCAGAATATACATACATATATATAAATATATTCAGTGCAGACTTAAAGCTATAAACTAAAATTTGTGTCTCTACCTTCTTTTAATATCGGTACTGAGTATGATATATGAGAATATATATGCAACTTAAAGTTAAAGCCTTCAGCTCGTATAGTTTACTATATCCACCCGTTTATGCAGACCTGATCAAGACTATATAGCTTTCATTGAGTCGGAGATACCCTATCTACCTTACATTGCAACAGGATCAAGCACTAGATGTGAATACAAAAAAAAAACAGGATCAAGTTTACTGCTATCTGAGCTCTGTAGGTTTTAAGGGTCCTTGGATGTATGCCCCACAATCAATGACAACAAATTGCATATTTTCAGATGTCCAATTTATGTAGAAAAAAACTGAAGCCCCGAAGCTATATTGTTGGTAGAATTTTATTATTCTGGTTAAATTATTTTTTTCTTATTGGTAACAGCAAGCCCTATCATTTTCATATTCAGAATTATTAATTGTGCTACAGAAGCTGAGATCGCAGGGAATTAACGTAACGTTGAATATGCGAAGAAAAAGTTTGTAAACACAATTTAACAAACTTGATGGCCATTTGCAAAAACGCGCGAATAAGCACGCACGATACATTTTTATTATTTGTTTTTGCATAATGCTTTTTACACATTTACGCTTTTGAAGTTTTTAATTTCATATTTTCATGCAGCCGGCAATATTTCGTTGCATTTTATGGCATTTGAATGGAATTTCTCTCTACTCGTTGCCCGTCTTTTCCCCGCTTTCCATCTTTTGACTTTGTTGTTTGCACCCGTTAAGGGCTCGCATCCAAATGCGCCGTGTCAATAGCACTTTTGACATTTCACATAGATATTTTCAAATGTATGCATGTGGGATACATGTGTCGAATGTGTTTGCTTACTTCGATGCGGCGATGCGAAGCGGCGACTGTTCCGGTCTACACAGGGCTGCTCTTTTGAAATGTATGCTTAAATATTCAATATTCAACACAAATCACCAAATAGATATCTAAAATGGAGCGCTTTTATAATAATATAGCAATTTTACAAATATTTTTTAAATAGTAAAATGCAAAAGTGGAATGTTAAATAACATTGTCGCTTCGAAATGCTTTTCTACGTTGACTTTATTTATTTCGACTTAAAACCATTTTGCAAATATGTGGAAAGAATTGTGGAGCTAATATCTGATAAGTTTGGTTAGCGTATATTGAGGTGGAATGGCTTTTTCAGCATGCCGAAGATTAAATACCCTTGCAGTCATATAATAACTCATTTCTCGACCGATCGTTCAACATTTATCCAGCTTTCTAAAACAAGAGATGGCAAATAAACAAGAAAGATTAAATATCCTTATGGATATGTGAGAATTATGAATTACAGACTTTGCTGAAGGCATCTTGCGAAATTAAACATTGGAATGAACTCATTTTTCGACCTATTCTTCTTGTTATAGAGCTATAGGTAAAGAAGTATAACTATATTAGAAGACTAACAAAGATACCTTGAAAAAGAAAAAGTTGTTCATACAACCGTTTCTATAGCAGCTATATGATAAAGGGGTGGATGTTATTATGTCAATGCCGTGTTGGGTCAATATATCTTTGAACCCAAGAGTTGTTTATACTTAAACCCTATTTACAACCGATCATTTCCAAAAAAGCTTCCCATTCTTTATCGTCTGAGCAATTCAGACTTATGTGCTGCCAGGAACAGACAATCTATACAATACTTATAAATATGAAAGCATAATTAAAAACGAATAAAAGCGTTTTATTTTATAAGCCAAACTATTGTACTACATTTATATGACCATTGCGTTCCGTACTGAACGAAAGTCTCTTCGAATCGGATTAAGTCTCAATTCGAAAGCACTTTTGCTAAGTATTGAATGCAATGCTTCGCTGACTGGGAACAGGCTGAAAGTGGAACGCATATTTTAATATTGAGCTTGGGGTTTTCTTTTGCTTGACAAGACTAACTTGCTTAGATACAGTCGACGATCTATTAGAATTTTTTGAAATGATTGATCCGCTCCGTTGACTCGTTTCAGATGAACGTTCTGATTTGGTCGCGATGGGTGTCGTGCTTCTTTGCATCTGGGGCACACTCACCAGTGTATTGGGGGACGTTTTAATTAAACCTTGAATTTTGATATAATTTTCAATCGCAGCCGTTGCCTGTTCATCGACATGATATATCGATTCGGAAATATCTATTGGTGTACTGGGTTCGGGCATTGGTATTTCGCTCATCTTTTTGCCGTTCTTGGCTATTGTGTATTCGGCAACATCAAATAAACGCCTTCGTTCCTCAAAACTTATGTTGTTCTTCTGAGATTTTGAGTCTTCCGTGTGAAATGCGGTTGGCCGTGGAGTCATAATGATAACTCTTTTTGCACGCCGTAACGATTGCTCGATGTTAGCTTCGGTCAAACGCTTTACCAGATTTACGGGATTTAGAACTATTTTTTTTTTCGGATGCGGTGTGCCAACCGACGGATATTCGTTAACAGAACTCCTGGTAGAGTAAGACTCTTTTCTAGTGCCTGGCCTAAAGTTCGGCTGCTGTCGATTGGGCTTCCAGTCCGAGACATTGTGTTTGTCTTTCGCATTTTTCATGAGTGATTTGGGATTCGCGGCCAACTCCTTTCTGAGATGCAGAGGGCCAAAGGGTTTACTTGCTGCATCTCCTTTTATTGTCCGAGCCCCAAACATTTCAGCACGTTGTTCTTCTCTCTTCGCCGTTTCTATGTTTAGCTGACTAGCAAGGCGTTCGCGGAGCGTCTCCGCATCCACTGCCGGAGTTACTCGTGGAAATGGTGTCGTTACCCTAACGGAAGCTATCCGCATTAGGCCATAATCGCGATTAGCCAGAGTCAATGTATCCGATTTGCTGAATAAGAGCCTATCCTGTTGGCTCCTTTTTAAGGATGTTACAGACCTAAGAGCTGATTTCAAGCTTTCAGCCTGATGTGGCCTTAAATTGCTAGCTGACATGACGTTCAACATTACTGATGCAAGCAAAAGAATTAAATAAATGAAAGCAAATATTTTTTTTTTTGTTTTTTTTTTTTAAATTAACTTATTTGCTGTGTTGGGAAATCAAATGTAATGTAAGATTGTTTAACACTGCTTGCAATGCCAACTGTTTAGTGCAGAGCTTTTGAACAGCTTTCAAAAGCTTAATGCTACGTTTCTACCCTTTTATTCTTGGAAAATTAACGTGTTAGGATAGTCTTATGAACAAGACTTGTATTGCTGGGATGCGACCTGTAGCTTGACTTATAGCTAGAAAATTTAGCTGATTTTTATTGCATCCGATATGTGCCGACCAATGTAGTCTTCTGTCCAGGGTAAGACAGGGGGGCTGCGCAGAAGGCTGGACATGCGGACTGGGGACTAGTTTGGTCATCCAGTTATAAATGTCCTTTAAGTAGATTTGTCTCGTCTGGCAATGTTGCAACCAGAGCTCCAAGGTGGAGCGGAGAGCTTAACCAATGGGAGATGCTTCAGCTGGTTGTTCCGACCTGAACCCTCTAAGTCCGGGAAATAAGCTGTATACAGCGTAATCATCATCTCTCCTCCTCCTTAAGGTAGGATCTTGGCACACCGGGTGTCGCATGTCGACTAACTTTTACATAAATATGCCCTCCTTTCTTCCTGATTCCTATAAATGTTTTTATAAACATCATTTGTGTGCATTACCGATAAAACTAAATTTGATGTGTATAAGACCATAATTTATTTCTCGTATAAAATTATATATATTGTTTTAGGGTGATAAGCTCAATTGGCTTTGTAGATTCCTGTAGCTGCGCTTGATTTGTTGTGGGTAAATCTATTTTGGTTGAATGTTCGGATGGTTCTGCAATGAGGCTCTGCATTGAGCTTCTCAACAGATTAATGCTGTTTAATGTACCGCATGTGGATTTAACGAAGCCCTTTGAAATAAACTTTTCAATTGCTTTCTCATGATCTTGGGGCTCACGTTTACATAGTATAAGTCGAGGCGGCTCGTCCACGAGTATATCGCTCATCTTCTTGCCATTCATAGCAATGGTGAATTCGGCCTCATGGAATAGCCGGCGACGATCCTCAAAACTTAAATTTATATGGTTGCCTGTTGTGTTTCTGCACAAGGGAATTGCATTTTTTTGTTTGACTGGCGTAGAACCTTTGATGCTTGTCCTGGGCTGAATAATACTCGATCTATCAGTTTTCCTTGGAATAATAAGGGTGACCCTTTTTGTACTATTTGGAACATAATCAGTATGTGGCCCGATAGGTTTCATCGGCCTACTGGAGTCTGTTTTCAAAAAATTACTCCAATTGTCGTTTTTTAATATTGACTTTTTGCTTGAAATCGACAGTTTCCTTTGCAAATCTTCTTCACTGGATTCCTCAGAAATATCCCTGAGGTGTTTAACAAGTTGCTTAGGATCCAAAACTATGCTCTTTTTAGGATGTGGAGAAGCCAAATAGTTCATTCTCTTGTTCGATGTTTTTGGCTTGATTTGGTCAAAATGTACACCGGGGGGATCCCTATCAGTTATTTCCACGGATCCTGAATCCAAGCATGGGTATGGAGTGGAAGCTAGGTTTTCGGGTACCCGCATCAAACAGCGGGATACTGTACTCTCTCGCTTGGTTACCTTAAATTTAAGTGAATTCCGGAATTCTTTTGGAACAGGTTCGTTTCTCATTGATGATATCTTTGGCTGAGTTGCCGACATCCTGCCCTTCGTCAAATAAAAGGATCTAATAAAGAAGGTCTGCCTAGTTCTCAGTGTGATTGTCAGTGTTTTTTATGTTTTTATTTGAGTTTTTAGAGAAGCTTGTTTCTACTGTGCTTGTGAAATTGTTTTGAAATCATTTGTTCTCTCATATCGTCCACGCTTTGATGTGACACTGCTTGCAAAGCCTACGCAGAACTGCTTGAATTCTGTCAATGCCTAGGTAAACTCTTATAAAGCTCGTTGCTTTATAACTCAAAGTGACCATTGCAATTTGATGCAGTCGCAAGTGCCCGGCTAAGAGATACCCTTTATTAAGCTTCTGGATATTGAATAACGGGCAGAGTTAATATATGTTAAGATATGTTTTTACCCATACTTAATACATTCGCGAATAATTGTTTTATAAAGAATAAGCTTTTTTCCAATGCACTGGTAAAACTTGTATAAAGTAATAAAACACAAATAATGGCCACATTTTCAGTGCTTTATATAATTCATTTAATGACTCTTCCTCGCCGGGATCAAATGAAAAATGCGCCAAATATAAAAATATAGAAAACCGTTTTAATGGCCACCACGTCGTAATCTTTTATTTATCAATCTTCTAAAAAAACGAAAAAGTAAACTTAGATCTCAACCTTTCTAGCACATTGACCCTGTTTCCCATTTGAATTTATTAAGAAAATACATTTTCTAATTTAAATTTAAAAAATTTTCTGTCTTCCGTCTGGCCACACACCCTCAACCTCGGTGAGAAAGAAAACGGGATGGATGACGAAACAATCAAAAAACTTAACTTTCATTGTTAAACTCTTATACGTATTTCATTTCTTTGCTTGATTACAACAAACAAATTATTGATCCAAAAGGAAGCTTCAGTAAAAGATTCAGCTTCGTGGCTGTGTTTTGGTCACCGTTCAGTCAGTCAGGACAAACTAACAAATATATATAAACAGACAACCAGATATATAGATAACAGGTATTGTCTGGCGATATCTTTAAGATAGTAACAATCTAATAGGAATTTCAGTTTGTCAAAAGAAAGTAACCATTTCTTCTTGTTTTATCAATTGCGATTTATTCACATGGACTTTCATTAGCAGGCGTATTGCTGAATGTGAATACGTAGACAGAAATTTATACAAAACGCAATTGACGATCCAAAAAGGTTCCAGTTTTGAATAAAGTTGCATTGGAAAAATAGCGAAAGTGCCTTCAAGTGGGCTCCAGTCGCAATTTCAATGCACTCTCGCTATTTGTCAAATGCGGTGTCCTGGAGGGGCGTTGAATGTAGGGTATTCGGTTGATTCCCTGATTTCAATGTGTATGCTGATGGATGCTGCCCATGCTATTTATAGACACTGACTCATTCAGTTTGATTTTTGTAGTGCCGGTTAGAGTACCGGCGGGTGCTTTTATGAAGCCTTGTTTTCGGATAAACATTTCGATGGCATCAGTTGCCCTCTGGTCTTCGTGAAATGTGCCTTCATCTATGTCAAATTGATTAGCATGCTCGGACATAAACTGTTCGCTCATCTTCTTTCCATTTTTGGCAATTGTGAATTCGCCCTCATAGAATAATTGTCGACGTTCCTTAAAGCTAAGTAACTGGCTTTTGGGCACGGAGCTAATTACTGTGCTGCTTCTCTTGTCCATTAAAAAAGTTTTTTTTTCGCCTCCCATTTCGCTGGTCATGCTTCTCCGAGGGCTGATTAGGGTGACCTTTTTGCACTTGTGCTCCAGATTAGTAGCGCTAGATTTACCGCTCATGTCTTTTCGCAGACAGCTGGGCGGGGTCTTCTGCTTGTGACGTGAACCGTGAACGGACAAGAGGCTCCTGACTGACTTCCTGCCGATTTCCATCTCTGTCAGTATCGACTGGATGTCCGATAATCGTCTAATGCTAGCCCACTGATGGGACATTTCTGCATCCCAATCAATTGCACCGATCTGCTTTTTGAGTAATTTGGGATTTATGGCCGTGCCCTTGGTAGGGTGCGGAGTGCCTGAGGGCATTTTTTCAGGATGCATTACGTGTGACCTTCGTGGCGTGCCCATAAAATGTAAATTACTAATGGGTGAATCAATTTTTTCCAAAGGATCCACTAGGATTTTACTATTTCGCTCCTCCTCAAGGCGCGCTCTAAGTGTCGAGATATCAATCCCCTCAGATGCGCGTGGATATGGGGTCGAAGCCCTGTCTGCGGTTACCTTTATTAGCCCATAGTCGCGGTCTACAATTGGCATCTGGGCAGGTGGTTTGAAAAGCAGCTTTCTCGATGAACCTTTATTTTTGTTAACCAAGAACGATGATTTTTTAGGTTCCGTTGACGCCATCGTGCACGGGGTGGCAATCGCGATTGACGTACTCAAGAAAAAGACTCAACCAAACAAACAACGTTCAGTCTTGTGGGCGTTTCTGTGACACGCAGAGTTTTTTATTATTTGTCTTTTTTTTTTATTTTTATTTGTTACTTTATTGTAAGTGTTGTTTGTTGTCCTGTGTCTGGAATATATTCATGAATTTCACCTATTTTTATATTGAGCTCACCTTAGTCTGAAACTGCTTGCCATGCCTACGCGGCACTGCTTAAATTTTCCTTTTGAATTCGATGAGCAAGCGATAGCTGAATGCTACACAACTGCTTGTGTGCCATCACATAACCGTGGGCAACGATTAAAAGCACATTGCCAGCTTAAAGCTCTGGCCAAAGCTTTTCCTTTTGCCAATTAGCTACGCCGCTTGCCAAACAGCTGTTAAGGACTGCGGCCAAACATTTCAAAACAAAACGTTCAGCGGTAAGGAAGTAACTGAACTCGTTCAAAATTCTTGTGCATGTGATTAAATATAAAGAATAGTACCGAATGATTTAAATTTGAAAGTCTCAATAATTTGCTATTTGGTGAAATTTTTTAATTAGAAACATTCTTTAACATTCCTTGTGTAAAGAAACTGTGCAACCAAATGTCGCTTAAATTTGCCAAAAAAAAACGATATGTAAATTCTAATAAAGACTTTTTAATGGAGCAGGGAACAGACATTATTCAAAACCTCAAAAAATGTTATTAAAAACTAAAGTTGTTTCGGTTATGACCATCTGCTTGTGCCATCCATTTTGTATCTGGGCTTGTGGATCCTGTGTCTAACCAAAGTATAATTTAATAATATTTTAAATGGAAAAAGTAATTTAAATTTTTATAAAAGTAACAAAGCAATATATCAATATATCCTTGGAAAAAAATATGTTAGATGCTCCAATCTTTTCAAAAATGAAGATTTACATATTATCAAATATGTGCTTCAAAAAACATATAAGTTTGTGCGTTTAAAAAATGCCTGTTAGTTACTCACATTATCGTTAAGTCTCGATCCAAGTAGACATTAATAAATATAAAAATTAATAAATATATAAATATATATATAAAATCTAATAATAATGTGAATTCAATACAAGATATGCTCGGCTTGAAAATTTAAATTGCCCTTGTTTTTCCCTTACAAATTTTAATTATTGTTCAACTTCTAACAAATCAATAAATATTAATAATTAAGAAAATATCAAAAAGAGGGTTGCAACAAAATAGAACTGCTTAAATTATAATAATAATAAGTGAGTGCCATTAAAACTCATATGCTCAGAGTTCAATGTGCTCACCTTCGCAAGGTATTTGAAAAAGTGCTGAGTGACATTGAGAAGCAGCCGCGCGACAAGTGGAAATATAACATTTTCTCCGGTTTTAATGAGTAATGACATTTTGCTGGTGCGAACGTTAACATAAGCTTTATCAGGCAGCTTCCCTTGCCAATTTATATATATATATATATATATATTTTTTTTTTAATGATTTTTCTTTTAGCTCTTTGCACCTGCCAGACTCTGATTGTTGTCGCATAAAGGACAACAAGCGTCAAAATGGGTGAAAAGAAATTTTGCACTTAACGTGTTTTCCATCTCCGGCTACTTCAGTTTGTCTCCAAGGCTTGTTAGCTGATTTTTTTTTTGTGTTTTTTTTTTATGCTTTTTCCATATATTTGTTTAACAGCCTCTTGTGTGATGTGACTCTCATGAATTTTATTTATAATGTTTTCACACACGTGGCATTCATTCATTCATTCATTCCACATAGACATGACTAGTAAGGGCCTGTCTCAAAGTCTGTTCCTTTTTCCCTAGTTGCCTTGGCCGTTCCGAATCCCTTGTTGCAAATAGGAGCTCTAATCCTGCGTGCTAGGGCGTTCGTATGAAAAAAAAAACAACAAAAAACAACAACAACAGAAACAAAGTAAACGTCGCTACGTAACTTCTGGACACACAGACACAGCTCAAACACAGAGACACAGACAGACTTCCGTAGTTATTGGGTTTGCTTTCACGGCTTATGTGCAACTGAAGCCCCGAAACTTTCATAAATTTCTGCACTAGCTCCTTAGGCTTACAAAACTTGCCCAAGACTTTTCTTTCAATACTTTGCGCTAAGTATTTCAAGTGTTTCCCTCGCCCCTTTCGTGTGCTTTGAATTCTTGGCGGCCAGTTCTGGGTTTGAATTGAAAGCTGCCATTTGGGGCGTCAAGAATGCGAAATAAAAAAATAATATTATTTTGTGCATTGTCGAGTGTGGCATGGCTTAAAGCAGAGTAAATGAAATGTGCGCTCACAAAAGGAACTGCATATTTGTAATTGCAAAAGCTTTAAATTCTTTTGTTCATAGTGAACTTAATAACAATTAGTCGAATAGAATTTTCATTCGAATTTCTTTTGATAACAGTTTTTATCGTATGAAAGTTAGAGGGTTGAAGAATCAACTTCTGTTCAACAAGCTATCGTTACTTTTAAAACAACCTCGTCTTCTATGTGGGTTCTTCTATTTAGTCAAATTGATCTGTGATCAAATTGAGTTAACATGTTGCTATATACATTTTTATAAGTTTGTCGTGAGCTGTGTAACGCATAGAAGAATACATCTCCGATCCTATAAAATATATATACTCTAGGTAAGCCTCAACAGCCGAGTCTGTCTGTTTCTATGCGAACTACTCTCAGTTTTAAAGCTAACGTCTTGAAACTTTGCATAGTCTTTCTGTTTAAGGCAGTAAATATGTTGGAACTGGCCGAAGCGGACCATCATATCATATAGCTGCCATAAGATCGATCGGACGATAATAAAGTTCTTGTATGAAAAGTTGTTTGTTTTTTAAGATATCTAGACCAAACGAATTAATTCTCGTTTTAATTATTATATTTATATGCCCAATTTTGGTTAAAGAAGCGGATAGCTTAAAACTAGATAAATATTTAAAACCAGATGACAGTTTAACTCAATTTGCGTAAGTTCATTGAGTATTTATTAATTATTTGTTTATTTATTTATTACTCAATGCTCAACTTTGTCACCAAAGTGGATTTACACATTGTCATATATATTTGGGTAATATTTTAATATGAAGGATAAGCTGCAGGCATATTCCCCACATAATCTTATACTATACAACTGTTTTTACTGACTGAGTGACTGTTGATCAACCAACAATCAATTCCCCTTGCCTCGTCTGATTTGCTGTACTTACAGATTAATTGTTATTAGCCATTAAATTATTATGAGTCAGACCGAAATCTTAATACTACATTGTTTTACACAGCAGAGGGAGAAGATCCAATTGTACCCCATCACTCATTTTGATTTTTTGGTCACACAGAGGCTTAGTTTTTATTTTGACCTGCTTAAAGATATTTTACGTTTTCCTTCTTTACCAAACAATAATTCGAAGACCCTTGTGAACACTCATTTCACACGTTTTTCACACTTTTCAAAAGAACTGGCCCGGGTGGAATTTTATGGAAGAAGGTTGTAGGGGCAAAGTTGAAATATTCAATTTTGAGTTTTTCGTCCGTTTTTATCTATGTACAATATGTGAAATGTATTTCAACTTTTGCTTAAAATCCACAAATGTCAGTTAAAGCTAATGCGTACAAATTTTTAATTTTTCGCGAAGGAAGCTCTTGGGTGGAAAAGTAATGTTTGAATACTTGAAAAACTTGGCCGTGCAAGGCCGGCTTATTCCTGCTAGTTTGATTTTTTAGCTTTCTTGCAGTGCAAACTAGAAAGCTTTAGAGTAATCCTCGTGCAAATTTATTCTCTTTCTTGGCCGGTTGTGTGCGATGCCTGAGTTACGGCCCCGTCCTGCTTTGCAGCCACTTGAAAGTGTGTTTCATTGAAATAGTTTTTCATTTACTCAACGCCTTTTATGCGCCTCTGGACAGGCATTTCGTTGAAATGGCCAACTGGGCGAGCTGGCAGAAAAGTAAACACGGCCAATGTGGCTCACTGTGGCAGGCGTTCGCTCTATACGAATGTTGGCCATGGTGACCGCAATTGGCCGACACAAAACCGCAGCGGCTGCTAGTGAGGAAAATAGCATTAGTGACTGGTCTTCGCAGGCATCTAATTATCGTATATTTTTTTAATGAAAATTCGGTTTTTTATTTGCCGTTGCAGATTACAACAACGAGGCGAGCGGCACCGGCGCTTTGACAAGCAGCTTCGATAAGTCCGTTCTGCACATTTCCGACTGGCTGACTTGGGAACAAAACATGATCAAGATACAGAGTGTGGTCGTGGACGATGTGGACGCAGTGCGTTTGGCCATTGAAAAGCAGGAGGTAAGTTTCAGCTGCAGCAGCCGCTTGAAGTAGCTCACATTGGTTTTGCTCTATTTCTGTTTCGCTTTGTAGAAAGTTTTGCGTGAATTGAAAATGAAAAAACCTCAACTCAATGAACTGGTCCACACAGCGGAAGTGCTGAAGGGCGACATTAAGCGTCAGCAATTGCAGGAGAAAGGTAAGCTCTTAATGCCTTGTTACTAAATAAAAATAACTATTTAATGGGCTATTTCATCTAAACATTTGCTGTCAATGATGAAGTTTATAAAACCAAAAATAGGTATTAGTTACCTTATATATATGCAAATATATATTAATGTATATTTCATTCCACGAATTGCGTTTGATAAAGAACAATTTATCGATCTTTTCTACACTCGATAAAAACTTCATGTTTAATGAAAACTTGTGCATTCTGTGCTATTTTGTACACTCACAATTTATATCTATATCTATACATATGTAAACTGTAGGGCTAGGCTGGGTTACATCTTCTCCTGCTCTTACCTCCCCAATCTCCTGTTCATTCGGACTCCTCCAACTCTACGTCTCTTTAGAAGACGCCTAGCCAGTCAATTGCGATCATTTCCGAGCCGTACTCATTACTAAAGCTGCCAGAAATGCACGCTTTCCCATTGAAAAGATTTCAAGGGGAAATCATTTTGGGGAACACATGTGAACGTTTCCTAATTCATCGAACAAATTGCCCATTCGATGGCACATGGAAATTTCATTAGGCCTTTTAGCTGCTGTCTGCCATGCTAAATGCCATTATGAATTGCATGCAGATTGTGTTCAACCTGAAGCCCTGGCGAGCTGTGTACATTTTCCATTTCCCTTAACGACTTTCGTGCAAGCAAATTTCCGCTTTGCCAGACCGACTCACATACCACAATCACAGTCATGGGAGGGTCGTTCTGTTCAATCTGAAATATCCACTTAAAATGACCAACACAGTTCGCTTGCTAACTGATGCAAGAATTTGCATGCCGTTGCCGGGAACCTTCCGACACAACGTGTCTTGCACTCGTCCTGGTAGCATTCGTCCTTTGATAGGTTTGGCTGCTGCTAAAAAGACTAACATTAACCAGTAAATACGATCGATGGACAGCACATACTATACTCATCAGATATTCTTAATGTTAACTGAGATATTACGTGAATAAAATATATTCAAGTATTTAAAAATGATGCAATACTCGAAGACTTTTTTAAAGTACTTTTCTAAACTCTTACGAATTGCTAAAAAATATTATTTCTATTTAAATTAAATCACAAAGCACATCTATTTATATCCCAGCATTTGGCAATTGGTTTTGAAATGGAAATTTAATTAGTTAGGAATATTTCTCTTTGTCGCTGCTGAATGCAATGCTATAAACATTTAGTCTATAAACATTTATGTACCTATATTATAGTATACAAATTGTTTAATAATTGTAAAGTTTTCAAAGTGGGTTTATATTTTATATATTTATATTTATAAAAAAGCCGCTGTTCGTTTTTAAAGGGTATTGTAAGGTGACAAAGCCAAAGCTGTCGCCTGGCATTGAAAGACAATGGCAAGGTTCTCAGCAAACACAAATACAAATATGTGCACAGGACACACACACACACACACACGCACACATTTATGTAAATGGGAAACATGTCAGAGTCGAGTGCCAAACATAAGAACGTATAGAATGCCCTGCACTATGAATCGGAAATGGAAATTCCTTTTTAGCCGGTGCACCGCGGTGGTGAATATGCAACATCACAGTTGGACAGGCACTGCCAAAGAGTTGAATGTAACTTTAAAGAGAGTGAAATTTTTTATCGCATGCCTCAGGGCGCATGCTCAGAGGAAGAAATACATTTGGGTATGTGTGCGTGTGTATGTGTGTGTTAGTATGTGTGCTCTATGTATTTTTTGCATTTCGTTTATTTCAACTCTCTGCGGAATTTTAATGTGGCATCAGGCAGCCAACATTTCTGTCAGTTGACATTTAATTGACAAGCGCTGCGGAGTTGAAGTGTGGGGCGGGCTGCTAACATTTTTATGCGTCCCCCCCCTTTTGTTGTTGCGGCCGCTGTTGTTGGGTCTGCTGCTTGTTGGGTCTTACATAGTTTTGTATTTTATGTCATTGTTCGTTGGCTGTGGGGGAATTGGCCTGCAGTTGGCTGCATTGCTTGTGTGTTGTTACATATTATTATGATGTTTGGTTTGTCATAAACATTTGTAACTTGTCCTGCGCACGGCTGTTGCCGTCGACCACGTACTTAAGTGAATCCCTGTTGTTGTACTACTAGCAAGACGTCACTGGGATCTGAGCCTGGGCGTCCACATGCCACTGGATACGGGGAATTCACTTTGTTGTAGTTCCTCGGCCACATTACAGACGCCACACAGTCAAGGGGCGACAGATTTCTTCTTTTTTCTTTTTCCTGCAAGAAATGAGCTTTACGCTGGTTGCGTAAGTTGCACATATTAAATAGTTAAATAAAGTGACAGAGAAAATAATTAAGTACATAACGCATATATATATGTTATTATGTAAATATACTGTTGAAGTGCAATTCGCTTCAATTTAAACTTCGAGCTGATAATCCATGGAAATCTATCTAATGCAAGAACTCTTAAGAACTTCATCATGGTTGTTAACTACTTCAATCGATTTGAGCGAATTAATCTATTCTGGGATTGAACTTTTGTATGGTTCTCAGTTGTCGAATAATTCATCAAGAATAATCGAAGAAATTGGATTTCTTAACTAGTTTCTCTCTGAAATGACTTCGATGATGCCTACCATGATAAGCCGATATTGATCCCTTGGCGATCTATTTGATATTGAGATACTTCGTTGTTTCGTTTGTCACACATTGTTCACATATGTAATGTACTTAATGTGAGTCTTAACAGTAGATCGGTAATTTTCCCGTTTCCAGTGATCAGAGTGAGTCGTATCTAAAACTTTATAGAGTCCATGCATTATATTCTTGGTTGCCACTGCATGCAATTTCTGATCAACCGATTAATCTAGTATTTCGCTTAAGATCTTGGAAATAATTGCATTCGGTCTAATTTTGTCAACGAATCAGGCCAAAATGTGCGCAAAGCACAGTCCAAGCCCTACAATTAAGTGCGTCCAAAAATTTATTAAAATATAGAAAAAGTATTTACTATAGAAAAAGTTGAAGCACTAGAGGTAAATAGTTTTAAATTTTTAAGATTTCACAATCTTGGCCACGTCCAACTGTCTGTCCGTCTGTGTGAGCGCAAGGATCTCAGAATCGTAGGTGCTCCTAGAGTCCCCGCAATCGATAAAAATCGATCCCTTTTTTTTGAGCTAGCCTCTAAGGTTTTAAGAGCTTGACTCACCAAAATTGACTTGAACATTCTAGAATAGCATATGCACGTGTATATACGACTCCTAATGCGCTATATTAACTTTGAACACATAATAAATTAGAAAAAATTGTAGAAAAAAGTTATTAAAAAGAGTGAAGAAATTTGTCATAGGGTTTAGAATATAAAGTAGATATGGTAAAGAGATAGTTAGTCGAACATAACCAAAAAATTAACATTCAAATGGGTCGAGTTGTTCGCGAATTTAATATTTTAAATTGTTTTGTGTTATTTCTTAATTCAATTTTGTGCGCACACAAGTATTTCGAGATGTGGCTTTAAACAATTTGGCAAATTTGGCCACAATTGGGCAACAGGCCAAATAATTATTGCCGTGCAATTAAATTGGTCACCACTCGAAATAATTGGCTTTGAAACTCGTGTATATATATATATATATCTATAGGTGCACGTATAGTGTCCAACCAGTTGGACACGGTCAATTGAGAGGAGAGCTGTCGGCGTTGCCCGTGTCTGTGGCCGTGCCCATGCCTATCGCTTATCTTGGGCCAAACGAACTGCACACAAAATCAATTAATTACGCATTTTGTAAGCTGACGCTTAATTAAACCATTATTTATTATCTCGTATGGCTGGATGGCGTGCCATGGGGCGCGGCTGGGCAAAAAGTTGTGCCAATTCGCCCGACCCAAGCTCAACCCGAACCGAACTCAGTTCGGTTATCATAAATAAAATGCCTACCAGCCAATGGAGGGCGCCCCAAACCTAAACCACAGCCGTGGCAAAGCAAAGCAAAGCAATGCCAGGGCAGGGCTATGTGTGGGCTCCTCGTAAATCTGTCTTTGACATGCAATTTTAGTGCAGCGGCTGTTGCTGCAGTTTGTGCTCCTGCCGCCAACAAATACCAGCAACAACAACAACAACAATAACAATGCACATTATTTGAAAGGACAACGCACTCGTTGGCCGGGCACAAGACCAGGCAGTGTGTGGTCCCCGGCCGGGGATGGAACCAGCAACCAAATTGCCTCTAATTGCCGTCTTTCTCTGTGGGCTGCCTGCAACCTGCAGACACCCTTCGGTGCCCAGTTACACGCCCACTTCACGCCATTACATGCTTTAATAGGCCTACTCCGTAGCCCGCAGCCCGCAGCCCGCAGCCCGCCCGTACACGCAAGCCCCTGACGACCTACGTCTCCAGTCTGAGTGACTGTCTCTGCCTAGCTGGCGCTTCCTGCCCTGTGTCTGCGCATTCAAGAAGTTTTTCGCTTTTGATGCCCTAGCCAGAAGGCACTTTGACTACCTGATGAAGCTTGAATAACTGATGTAGTGTACATAATTTTTGGTAATCAAGCGATGTCCCCTTTTGAGCGCGCTATTTAACTCTGCCAATTTTCCAATTCATGTTTCATTTAATGGTTAATTTTATAAGAGAACAAATATTTTTTTTCTTTTAATATTTAATCGGAGTGAAATCGATTTTATCTATGTTATATTTCAGTCCTAATATGTGTGAAAGTCGAAGGGAAAAATGAGATTCAGAAAATATTCATTATATTGGAGCCTTACTTTTTGGGTGCTTACAAATAACAAAACTAACTTTTTTATTAGAAATGTAACTGTTATTTTAGTGCATTTTTTTAAAGGGAGTTCACATGTGATCTTTATCCCCTGATGCATAACTTGCTTAAGTAAGACTGGCATTTATTATGAACAAATCATCTAAACTTTGTACACCTGAACTTTGATTGGAGATTTTTTGCACTGTATTGTAATAAGAATTCCAATCAAACGGTTTTTTTTTTAATTTTTTATAATATTTAGAAATT